TTACCAATCCATTTCAATGATTCTCCTACTCAATCATCCAAACACTCAATTATTATATTATTATCAAGTCATATCGGGTATCGTATTAGATAAGTTGGATATGAATACGTTTTGGAAATGGATGGATATGAACAAAAGATATAGAAACACTTGAATACCCTAATAAAATGCATATAAATCATATAAATACATTAATCATATTAAACCAAAAACTGAATTATCTATGAATAAAATATAAAGACATGAGAAATACATACTTCAATAGGTTATATGAAGAAAAATATTACAATAAACAATAACAGGACTCTAGAACAGTCAAACATTGTACAATAATTATCGATCTTTCAATTTTATAATTATAATTTTCAATTTTTGAGAATTTTTATTAATTTAGTATTTTATTTAAATAACAACTACTTTTTAAATAATAAATATGTTTTCATTTTTAACAAATAATGTTTTTATTTTACACATAATTGTAAAATAAAACAAATAAATCATTTAAGGTAGATAAAATAAAATATATTTAATTTTCAGTTTTTATTTTTTTGGGAAAATTAAATCTTAAATTATTCGTTTCAGTTTTTATAATTATAATTTTCTGTTTTCCATTAATTTTGTTGGGAAAATTTATTTATTTAGTATTTTTATATAATAACTCTATTTTTTCAAATAATAACTGTATTTTCATTTTTAACATATAATTATGTGTAATAAAATATATAAATCATCTAAGGTAGAYGAAATATATTATTTTTATAACTTTCAGTTTTTATTAATTTTTTGGAAAAGTTAAGGCTTAAATTATTTGTTTCAGTTTTCATAATACTATTTTTTAACTTGTATTAAAGATGAAAAACAATCCAAAAGTACTCAATGTACAATTTTGTCAAACTAGACACGGATACACCTCTATATCGGTGTATATTGGACCATCCACCAATATGGTGCGATACGACCCAATATGGAGGCGTATCATACCGTTACGCATGACTCGTAGAATACATATACAGTCATAGCGTATCCTGTACCCATGATCATGGATACAGATATGATACACCCTATATCAAGAGTATTGTATCGATACCTTAATCCTTGGTCTTGACATAATCTAAGGCTATGTTTGGTTTGAAGGAAAAAGGTAAGGAAACTTTGCAAACCTTGTATAGGTTTCCTTGCCTTTCCCTTCCTTTCCTTACTTTTTCCTTCAGACCAAACACAGCCTAAAAGTAACTTCATGATTTATCCCACGAGGATAAGATATCCAGTATTCCACGCCTCCTTCCTGCATTGTTGCTTCACAATGGTTTATCACTTACTAGTTTTTCTTTACTTACGCTGGGTCCAAGCCTTCTGGCCTGCGTTTTAAAGCAAAATGTTTTTTATCATTACTATAATGGATTAAAATTAATCAAGAAGAAGAAGAAGAATTACTTGTGATGGTAGCAAAGGTGTCTGGAATATCTGGGCTGTCAGGCGCATTTTACCCTGGATCTAGAACAATGCCACTTTTCTGTGGAGGAGCAGAAGAAGTTGAATTATCCATAAAGTAGTTCAATCCAATGAAGTCAAAAGAGCCCCTGATTTCTTTTGGTTCTTCCTCACTAAATACTGGAAGCCGATCTCTGACCAACTGCTTCACTGGGTATGGGTAGTCCCCAAACACAAGTGGATCCAAGTATCTGCAATATATTCATAGACCCATCGATAACAGGATTATTTCTAAGTTAGGCATATGTTGGAGTGGAGTTGCAACAGCTTAATTTTCATTGACAGAGTTCAAAACAGATGAAAGGGTGACTCACAGGCCTAATTTGTTGTCCAGAACTCAGCTGAGTTGCATCATCAACATCTAGTTTTGAAGATGAACAAGGAACATATATACCAGTCTGCGTATAAGGAGATGCCAATCATCCCTTGCTGCTTTTGATGCACAATACACAGAATTTAAACATTATGTTCAGATTACTAATCAACCAAACAGAGGAATTTCTATGGTTAATTTACATGATAAAATCCTGTATGCAGAGAATCCGATGATGAGTTTCAACTGCTCAATTAATGGCTTCACTATGTATGGGATGTAGCTAAAAGTTCAGAGTGAACAAATGACCTTCATGTAACAAGCATTATGCCTACCAAGTGGAGTCTAAAACTACTCCATCTGCATTTAAATTGATGAAATTCTCAGTTTCGGTAAATGAAACAGTCAATTCACAGATCATATATGTTTCTCTCTCTATATCAGTAGTATTATTACAATATAAAAGTTCACCTGATACTTGGATCTGTAGATTTTGACTGCAGGCATGTGTGCAAGGAGAAGATTGTGAGCAACAATGTAAGGCTCCCTTGAGGAGTCTCCTGCTGCACAATCTCCGCCATGAGGTGTACATCTCCCTGGTTCATTTTTTCCATTTCCATAACCATGTGTAGCATAGATCGATGGTTCATTTACAGTCACCCATTTCTGCACCCTGTCGCCGAATTCCTTGAAACAAAACTCTGCAAACTCGCTGTAGTCATCCCTGAAACCAGAAACTGAAAACTCAGTAAGAGGGAACATTAGAAGGAAGTAGATGTAGATGAACTACATCTATATTACATATGTTTCAGCATGAAAGATAAAAGGGAACTACTGCAAACATAAAACAAAGGGACTATTTTGGACAAGAAACTGTTGATCTTTCAAAATTCTCTTGCTTCTGAATCTCCCATATTCATTCTCAAGAACTTGTGGCACGTCCCAGTGAAAATGGTCACAAGAGGCTCAATACCTGAAATATATATATATATATATAATCCAATAATAATACTCAAGATGGAATATATGGAGAATGGAAACCATTCAACTAGTACCATTCTGTAATAACTCATTTATAAGATTGTTGTATTATTGCACTCCTTTTGGGTTCACTTTACCATGTTTTGGGAATGATTTGTGTTTTATCCTATTTTTAAACAACTAGGCAAATACCTAGTGAAAAGCCAAGGAACCATTGGTTACAATGACAAAAGTAAAAAAAGGAGGGTTTTATTTTTGGGCTTTTTATAATCTAACTGTTTTGCTTGGTTAGATTAGGTGCTCCCTTTGTCAAAGATGGTATCTGCCCAAGTGTAGGGTGTCAATTGGATCAGATATAGTTCAGTCCGATCCGGTCCAATATGAATCCATTGCAAGTGGATCAGATCCAATCCAATCTGATGAATAGTTTAGACTATTTTGGACTGGTCCAATTTAATGTTTGGACCGCCAATTTGATTTTAATTTACATTGATTCCAATCCAAAACTGATCCATTGACACCTCTACCCAAGTGAATCCCCAAAATTAAATCTGGTAGTATTTCCTCTTTTATTATATATGGGGAAAATATTTACTACCTGGGTCAAGTAAAGAGTTTCCCTACACAAACCATCGTATTTCTACAACATGGAGAGGTGTTGTGGCCAATCTAGACGGTCTACTTAGACAGGGGACACATAGCAATGCCACACCAGCCTGATATTCCCATTTTGAAATTGAAATGATTTTTTTAAATGACGAGGCAGATTGCTAAGGATGTAATTGTACAGTAGATAGGGCACTTGTTCAATTGCACAGCAAATATCAGTCATATGCCCTACCTTGTATTGTTGTTTTTCACAACTATGGTACCGGAAAAACCTAAAACCGATCAACCGATATCATAAATGTGACAGCTAATCAGGTGGTATTCATCCAGTATCATATACATCATCTGGCATCATAGATTTATCCTTCTTAATATAGTACTTATTCAAGTTGTACACATAACACATGGCAAGAGGTTTTGAACCCAAAAATTTTCCATGAAAACAAGATACTAAAGACCGAAAAGATTCTTTTCAGTTCTAAACTAATTTTCTACTTGTAAGATTATTTTGAAATAGTATATTGTAATCACCTTACTAGATATGAACCCATTGTAATTAATTTACATTTTTTTTCATGCAAAAGTGCACATGGGTCCATTATAATTCTAAAATTATACGAATTTTTATACTCAAAATAATTTGTATAAAAAGCTTAGACATGAACCTACTATTATAAATTGACATATATAAATATTAAATAACATACTATAAACTTGAAGTTTACACATGGTTTTCAAAACCGGATTGGACCGGATGGTCGACTGGAAAAACCGGGAACCGGTCACCTGACCGGTTTTGTTTTCCCCTAAAACCGGATTTCCCCCTAAAATCATCGATTTTGGTCAGCGAACCACTGAACCGAGCAGTTAATCGTTCGAACGGTTTTGACCGTTTTTTATTTTTTTTATTTTTCTGTCAGTATGGGCCAAGCGTTCAGTTCGAACGGTCGGACCGTTCGACCTGGTAACCGGACCCCTGACTGGTTCGGTCACCGGGTTGGTTTTAAAACCATGAGTTTACATATGAGACCCGGGAATCCACAATTCAAGACGACTTTATTTCTTATGCATTTTATAAAGTATTATTATATAATTTCTGCATTAAATTAAAAAAACAGAGTTTGTCCTTACGAATACATAAAAAAAAAAAAACATATAAATTTGATTAGACCCTATTGGTCCATCTCGCTCAGAATCAATCCTTGCATCATTGAATAAATAAGCCCATGCCAATGCATTACAAATAAGGCTTAAAATTTTGATAAGATACACCCAATACGGTTATCACCCAACTCCATTAACCCTTCATTCGTTCTGTTGAGTTTGTAGCTTCAACATTTTCCAAATTGATTAGTCTCACTGCATTGTTTTAGTATACTCTATTTCCTTATTGTTATTGGAGTCTTAAGAACAATCTATGGAATGCGTGTGCCCTGATCAAAATTGGGAATAGTTCTATTACTCTTTAACACTAGGCACTTGAATACAATAGCCATTGCTTCGAAGAATTTTAGCTCTTATACAATGCACACTAAAAAGAAAGTTACGTGGAAGAAGTATTCTTCCTCCTTTTCAAGGAAGAAGAAAAAAAAAAAGAAGGAAAACAGAACAAGAAATCAACAACCTCCTTTTCTTATAAAAATATACCTTATAAACTCCTTGTTACATTGTAAGAACTACACCTTTTTGACACTGGAAACTACACCAACATCACTTCTTTTGATGTGTGAAACATTTTAATTGAAGAACTTTGAACTTGTATATATGTACTAGGAAGTAGTGTCAGATGCTCTACAAATATATGTAGCTTCTGATTCATATATTTCTACCTCTGCTGGAAGTTCAATACTTTGATGGCATATGCATACATGAAAGCAAAGAACACTGTGAAACCAACTAAAACTCCAGCAACAGGCCCAATGAAACCGGTATCATACCCAAAGTGGTCTGTGACATAGGATTTAATGCTCTGAGTCCCAACTCCAGGCACCCTAATTTGGTCCTCCAAATCTCCATATTGCGATATGATCAGCCCATAAACTGTCCATGCCACTGGACATATCCAATAATACCATATCCACCATTTGGGAATTTTCTGCAAAAACCATCAGGACACAAAACACCAAAAGCAGTTCAGCAAGCTCAAGCTATTGCACAAATAAAGATAAAAATAGTAGGTCCTCGTGAGGGAGATGAACTTACCGGTTTGGGAATGAAGAAGCCTGAGAAGAGATTGAAGAGTCCATAGAAAGCAGCTGCAAAGATGGATGCAATTTCGTGGTTTGGTGTGATGGACACAGTCATCATTCCATAGTATGTGAAGTAGAGAAATGAGAAGAAATTGATGAAGAAGAACCAGAAAAACTTTGTTGCTGTCCATTGGAAACTGATCATGGCATATACAATAAGCGTATAGTATGTGGTTTGGATGAAGACATATGGTAGTTCAGTGATCACCTATAACACATAATTCATGGTATTAATTTTAACATGTGCTTTCACTGACAAAATGCATTTGAGAAGCAACCATAGTTTCCATAGTTAATATGAGCAAGTATAAGTCCTACCAGAACTATGTTTAGACAGGTTATCATTGTCAAAGTATTGAGTTTTTGATCCCTTTCAACTTTCATAAAGAATTGAGTCAATGAAAGATTCATCTTTTTAATAATTGGAAAACTTCTTCACAACTTCTGAGCCAAAACCAAAAACCAAAACACTAATGTGTCAGAACTCAATGGTGTCAACTTTACAACAGAGGCCAGGTATGTAGAAAACCTATACCACAACTTATCAAAATGCAGAATTAAGTAGTCCATTTACTCTTTTTTAAATCCCTTCTCACCTGTGCAATGGCATATGGTAGCGCAGAGTACATCCCAGCAGCTCTTTCTCGATAAAACACTGTTCTTTCCATGGCAACAACTGGTTGTACAGTTGAACAATTGTTGATCCCAATGAACAAGACGGATGCATACATGGCACCAATAATGGTGGTCAGATCAGTTGAACTCTCACTGAACCATAAAAACATTATTTTAGATCATACATTCAGGTGTCCTGATGAGGTTTAGAATTGTTCATTTTATAACTTCTGAATATTGAAGTCCTTTAATCTAGGGAATGAAAGTTATTGACACTGACCTCTTATTGCCAATTTTCCAGAAAATTGTTCCGAGCATGAGAGCACAAGCCAAGGTGAAGAACAATCTGACAAGGTTGTAATCTGGGCTTCGCCAGTAAGTCCACCATTGCTTCCAGAGGCAGGATTTCAATTGTCCCCACATTGATTGTGAGTATTGCGTGGGGAAATAGATATCTTTTGATCCTTGTGGTGGGGTGCTCAATTCCTTAACTAATGATTTGTTCCTCCTGGTGATAGTAATATGACATATATCAATTAAAAATTTAAAACCCACAAAACTCGCATAATGTATTTGTTTATTCTTTTAATACTTTCTGGGGATGGTGAATGGGGATAAACTAAAGTGATTGAGGGAATTCACTCTATTTATCAACACAAAGGAAGTTAGTTTCACTTACTGATACAAATCCGATGATTTATAGTAATCAGCAAAATCAATTCCTAGAAGAACTTCAGCTGCGATTGAGCTAGCCTCCAACATCCATGCTGCAGGATTTTGCTTATCTTTGATTCTCTGGACTCCAGGATTTGCCTGCAACAAGGGAACTAATGGTTGGTGGATCGGATGAGGGGATGAGGTCATTTATTCCTCATAATGATTTTACTTCTAGTATTGATAATAGGAAGAAATTTACGCTGGTAATTGATAATAGAAAGACTGGACATAATTAATACCTCAAAGTACTCAACAATCTTGTGAGAATGTCGCCCCAAAGGTCCTGCATAGATAACTTGTCCTCCTCTTTTCATTAGCAGCAACTGGGGTAATAAACAATGTAGCATATTAACTCTAATACCATGACTATATAACTATATGTATTGAAAAAGGGTAGTTACCTCATCGAAAGCTTCAAAAATATCAATGCTAGGTTGGTGAATTGTGCACACAACTGTTCTGCCTGTGTCCACCGTGTTTCTCACAGCCCTCATGACAATGGCAGCTGCTCTTGCATCAAGACCTGATGTTGGTTCATCCATGAAGATGATTGAAGGATTAGCAACAAGCTCCACAGCTATAGTCAACCTCTTCCTTTGTTCTGTTGACAGACCCGTAATGCCTGGAAGTCCCACAATAGCATCCTTCAGATTCTCGAGCTCTACTAGCTCCATAACTTCATCCACAAATCTCTGCAAGAAACATTTAGTTCAAGATTAATTTAGCATTTAGGCCTCTATAATGAAGGCACCTAAAGTATAGCATTGATTGTAGCATTACCATCTTCTGCTCATTGCTAACTTCCTTAGGGAGCCGAAGGAAAGCAGAGTAAACTAATGATTCTTTAATTGTGATTTGGGGGGAGTGGATATCATTCTGTTCACAGTAACCTGAGATTCTAGCAAATGTCTCTTGCTTTTTAGGGAAGCCAGAAATTCGGATGTCACCTTCAATGTATCCCCCTGTTTTTCTACCTGCAAGAACATCCATTAATGTTGTCTTTCCAGCCCCACTAACTCCCATCAAAGCAGTCAGGACACCGGGTCTAAACGCCCCTGTCACTTCCCTAAGTAATTGGAGCCTGTCTTCTGTCACTCCTTGTTCCTTTATTTCCTGTTAAAACAAGGTAAAAAAGCTAATTCAGTAGTTAGGCCAAGTTAGAATTTGACACTCAATTCAAATTTAATATGAACAGAATATCTAGTACATCTGGTAGGGTTGAACTTTCAAGCTACCAAAGAACTCAAAACATTCAAGGAAAAGAGTCTTACAGGGGGCATGTCCACATAGTAACTTATGCTATCAAAGGACATTGCCAATGGTGTAAAAGGGAGAACCATTCCTCTCTTTGGGGCAACTCCACTCGCTGCCTCAAGCAATGAATCGGCATTTCTACGACCTTTATTGGTATTGGTTTTGCTGTTCATTTGTCGGATTGCCATTTCTCCTGAAAGGTTACAACTCCATGTCAGGAACTTACAATTTCTTTATGAGTTATTTGATTATCAAACATTTACAGCAGGTCTTACTTGAATTATTTCCATCTCCAGCAGATAATGATTTTGGGATTGATTCTGTCTTGGACCTTGTTGTAATGGTTCTTGGTTCCTCCTTTGTTCCTTCCTGATTGGCTTCCATGTCATTGGCTGCTTGTTCAGATATAACTGCTTGTTTCTTTCCAAATGCTAATATAAAAGAGAAATGATTATGAAGAAATTATGATTAATAGTCCAACTTAAACCAAGACAAGAGAATTCAGAGAAATAAGAGTAATTTGGCCATAACAAGTTATTTTCATATTGTTTTTTAACTGTCTCTACTATAACCAAATTATCCATCTGAGGATGAAACAGGAAGGAGGCCAGTAACTTACGATTTAAATACATGAGTGAGAGGGTAAAAAGGACATTGAAGAGGATGGTGAAACCCAACAAAGCAGCATTCCCAATCCAAAACCAGTTTTTGTTTTGGAAGACCTGAAAGTTCTTGAGCACTTGGGTACCCAATCTTGTGCTGTTATCGGATGCCTACAATGTTATGAAAGAAATATATATATATATTGTTATATAAGGAACAAACGGGGTGGTTTATGACCAATCAGGAATTTAGAAGAAAAAGGAAAAGAAAGAAAGAAACAGAGTAGATTCTGGTATAGCACATGACTATTGAAGAAAAAGGATTAAGAAAATATACCAATTTGTTCATCCATCTTGGAGCATACATCTCATTGACTGAAAGAGCATTGTAAGCGTATGAAAGAGGTGAAACCCAGTAACCCCAGATCCACCAGTTTGGAATTATCTCTATCCAAAAGAAAAAAGAAATGGGGAATGCACTCAACTTTGGTAATTAAGTGCAATGGAGAAGAAACAAACCTTACTCAGGAAGTGCAGAAGTGGCAATTTAACAAAAATGAATGCTAACCTTTAGGGAGGATAAAACCGCCAAGCATGAAGACAATGAGGAGAGTGAGAGCTCCACCAGTGTTGGCAATTGTCATGGTCCTGCAAACTCCAGCGATGACTCTAAAGAGCCCAGAAGCCATTTGTTGGAGAAAAAATATTAGCAGAAGTTGCTTGAAGAACCTGTAGAACAAAAAAAAAATAGATAAATATTCATATATTTCTTTTATTCATATATAACTAGCCAAAGAGAGGGAAAGCATCCACTGAACAAAGTAACCTGCTAGCTTCTGGTGCAAATCCAATGGTGTAATATGTCGTAACCATCCAAACCACAGACTCAAGGACGGAAATCGGAATCTTAAGTAAGAAGTTGGGAAGGGTGAAAGCCCAAGCTGGATAGAAGAGAAGGTCTCTATGCTTATAAAATACAGGAAGCCTTGTGATGGTCATGGCGATCTCGGCGAAGCCGTTGAAGGTGTTGATGATCAAGGTAAAGATAAGTGCACCAATGAAGATAGCCCCATCATCTTCATTCCTGGTGTGTAGTCTTGTCCTAAAGAACACAGTTGCTCCAAATAGAGCTGTTATGATGATCTGGACAGTCTTGAATACATACACAAAGGAGTTTCTCTTTAGTAGGAGCCACTCCCTGTCCATTGAGATCTTAAAGAGTTCCATTTTGGGAACTGAGTACTTGTTGAAAACGAGAGCAGCTCTGTGACTAGTTCTCTTGTCATAGGGGACTGAGAGCTCGTTATCGAGGCGCAGCCCCACATGGAACCTCCTGAACCGGTTCACAAACTCGGTCACTGATACATATCGGAATGGCTTGCTCTTATCTGCCCAGTATTGCTCTTGATCCTTGCTTGAAGTCACCTGAAAATATAACAATCTCAACAATGGAAGAATACTTGGCTCATTTCATAATTCATACTTGTAAATTGCACAGACTGACAGTGTGTATGTCATCCATGATTCAGTGTCTCTCGAGCTACCAATTTATAATACTTCCATTTATATATACATGTTATTTACCTCTTGCAAGAAATCAGCAATGTCCTTCCTCTCGGGGCAGCGGAAACCGCAGCTCTCAAAGAATTCAAGCACGTGTTCCCGTGGGCCCTGGTAGACGATCTGACCCTCAGAGAGGAGGATTACATCATCGAAGAGTTCAAACGTCTCTGGAGCAGGCTGGAGGAGGGACATCAAGATGGTTGCTTCGGTGAGGTGGACGACCTGCTGCAGGCACCTCACTATCTGAAAGGTAGTGGAGCTGTCCAGACCTGTCGATATCTCATCCATGAACAGCGTCTTTGTGGGCCCAACAATCATCTCTCCTGCCAAAAGAAAACAAAGGCCCATAAGAGTCGGAGGGTGAGCCTTGGCGCAACAGTTGGGTTGTTCTATTGCCACCTGACCAACTAAATAGGTAGAAATAAGACTGTACAACTTGGGTTGAATATTTGTCAAATTTTAATGGGCCCAAAACCTAACACAAGTTCAAATATTGTTGAAATTCTAAATGTCGGATTTTTAGTATTTTCAACCATAGATCAAATTAAGAAAGCACCGTTAGTTGTATTTAGACCATTAAATCCATGCATTATTTTCTTTCCATCCTTGGCTGCTGTTGTGTTAGTCTGATTTTGATTTTGAAGTGATCATGGATCAAGCTGTGTTGGACAAGGCTTATGGGTTATGAACTTAAAAATTATAATATCTAGGTTCGAGAATGAACTGTAGAACTGGGCCTAGACACAAGACCTAAATTGGGTAAATACATCGAGAGATATTCCCAATGTGCGACTGTATGCCCATAATTTCGAAGTGTGTAGAGTTTTTGTTTTTAAGAGATTAGCCACCTAATTTTTAATTAATCTTTAACTTTTTTTTTTTAAAGAAAAGCCCATAGGTTAAATCATTGCATCAAATTATCAAGAGAGATAGACTAAAGAGATGGACAAAAATTTGGGCGGTCTAACGTTGGGCTTTTGCCAAAATTTAAATGGACATGGCCCGAAAGCCCAAAAGCAGTGTAAAATGTTAATTCAGACCAAATCAGATTGCACCGCTAGTTATAGGGCCTATCAATCTATACAGTACACAGTTAAACACTCAAGGAGAATTTCATCACTTGGAATTCCAACATTTTGGTACCACAGAGCTCTTAAAATAACACGAAAATTTTGGTTTAAATATTCATACGTGCAGTTTTAATACCTGGTTAAATATATAGTCAACCTAATCAGGATTTTTTTTTTTTTTGGACCATGTCCTTGTAACAGACGAATTAAGAAAAAGGATAAACCTTTTGTGGTTTCGGTAAAAAAGTAAGTCATCCCTAGGGTTTATCCATTAACTTCTACCCCCCTTGACCAAGAGGATCTGTTGAGGGAAGAGGCAGAATCAGAGCAACAATTATTTTACCAAAATATGCTTAATAATAAATTATCAATTTTGTTTCTAAAATTTGTGTTTCACTATTTTGAAATTGATAAAAGTTACCTTCATCTATGAACGCAAATAACAGTTTTGCAATCTTAAATTTTTATTTTATTTTATCTTTAATCTATGCTGAACTTTTCATTCCCATTTTGACATTAATTTGTCTCCTCAAGGAACATGAATGAGGCTAGATGTCATGTTCTCAATGCGTTCACATGTTTTTGTTTGATTCGGTCCTAGCATTAAAAACAAAATGTTTAGAAGGGTAAAATGGACTTTTAAAAGATTTTAAATGTCATAACAATACACCTTCCATTACTAAAACTGGTCTAAGTATGGAAGGTGAAAAAAAAAGATGGGATTAAAACAGGCTATAGAACTAATAATAACGCCCCCCCACGTCATAAAATATATGGAACCCATATATCACTGATGTGGAGCGTTATATTGGTTTCACAGCCCGTAGTCCAGTACACAGACGTGTTCAGTCGAGCTCAGCTTCCGTCAAGGCAAGCCTATGCTTATACCGTTTCAAGAGTCTCTTGCAATCTTGTATTGTGAATTCTTCGCATGAAATAAAGAACACGAGTATAGAGATATTCTCAATACAAGGCTGTAAAGGTTGTTTGAGCAGGTTTTTCCTCGACTGGAGCTGAATTCTGTTCAGGTTATTTGAATTACAAAAAAAATAATTCAATTCTAAATTACGATTGATAAATAAATCAATAGGTAGATTTTAAATGCTAAATTACGATGCAAGTGGTGACAAAAATACTCAATTCTAAATAATGAAGGATGAAGATGAATAAATTTTAAATGCTATAAATACACTTCAAGGGTAAATTGCTGAAACATTTCCTGAAATTTGGTAAGTGCAATTATCTCCCCTGAACTTTATGACATTATTGCAAGTAGATCCATTTGCTAGAACCTTTTAATAAGAGGCATAAAAATATCCAAAATATCCATCTAGTTACTATTGCTGGTTTCAATGTTAAAAATAATACAAATGTTACAAATAATCAAAAAAAGAGAATTTAAAGTTGCAGTTTTACGCATTTATCTTTAAGTGATTGATATAAAGGGCAAATTTGAAAAATTAATCAATTTTAAAAAAGAGATTGAAAGGGTTTGAATTAACGATTCATTGATATTTTGAACATTTTTATGCCTCTTTTTAAAGGATTTTAACAAAAGGGGGTCTACTTACAATTATATCAAAAAATTAAAGAGAAATGATTACCAAATTTCAAAGAAAGTTTCATGAGCAACCAAAAAATTTAGGGGATGTCTCAGTAATTTACCCTTTTTATACACTTGAAGGAAGGTCTCCGTATCTAACCAAAACCAGTAATTTAACCAACAAAAAATAAAAGAAAAGAAAAACTAAAAGAAAAAAAAATGACTTAACAACCGACCTGTGGTGACTCGCTTTTTCTGCCCACCCGAAATTCCTCTCAGCATATCACCTCCGATAATAGTGTCCCTACATATATCGAGGCCCAATATCTGTTTCAAATTGGGTTTACGTTAGTCTAAAATACCCTTGTAATTTTACAGACCTACCTTACAATTTGCATTTTACTGAAACACTCCTTATATCTTTTTTTGGTTTTTTTTTTTTGTAAAAAGTAGTTTCCAATCAATTAAGGCTGTGTTTGGTTTGAAGGAAAAGGTAGGAAAAGCTATACAACCTTTCCTTCAAACCAAACATAGCCTTAGCGTCTATTTTGCATCGTTGTCGTTGCTCCAGAAAACGGTGGAAATCGAAAAGGCGTTGTTTGGAGCAACGCCCAATTTGGTGTTTCCTGGAACTGCCTGCAGTTCATTACTACTAACAGGGACATGAGGTGGTGGTGACAAGGACATGATGTGGCACTGGGTAATAAGTACCAATACTGAAAATGTTTCCTGGAGCATTGGTATCAACATTCCATTAGACGAAAATGGTAAAATAGCAGTTTTTATCTTAATTTCCATTCAGATAAATTTAATTGAAAAAAATGAAAATATTATTCTTGTCCTTGGTAAAATATAGAGAATCACTTCATTCAGTCCGTTTGTTCTCTATTCAAAAAAGGGTTAGGGGGTACTTTCATAATAAACAAGCATGGTCCATGCCCTTAAAACATTTTCCACTTGTTTTAGGTCTCATGTGACTAATGGAAGATCAATTAATCAAGGCTAAGTTTGGGAGTGCTTATTTGAATAAGCAGTTATTTTAAGCTAGGACAACACCAATAAACACTTATCTGCATTTGAAAAATAAGCCCAAAGATAAGTATTTACTTGAAATGCTTAAAATTTGGGCTTAGTTTTAAGTGATTATTTTCTATATCGCCTATCTTAGCCCACCATGTCATTTGAAAATATCCATAGTTTAAAATAAGTGATTTTCACCAAATACTTTATAAACTTTTATTAGAATAAGCATTTATTTTTCAAATAAGCACTCCCAAACTTAGCCTACCTGTAATTTGCAAATGTACCCATGATTTAGTAAAATGCAAACTAATAGATTTTAATAAATCCATAAAATTATAAGGGTGTTTTTAGTAAATGACCCTTATAAAAATTAATGTGACAATTACATTGTGGGTCACGTAGTCACGTTTTATGGATGTAGATGGTCCATTGGCGACTTGGTCTAACAGTGTCTCTTTTACCATAAAAACGGCCGACATCATAGTGGATAGGGGCTCTTGAGACCACTCGATTAAGTTGAACTCCTGGAAAAATCTGGCAATGGAGAGCAAGGTTGTAAAAAACCGATTTAGAATTGGAACCGTTCTTGTCACCGGTTTTTGGGTTGATGATTCGACTGTTCAATTCAAATACGATCCATTACAATAAAAATAATTAAAATAAAAAACTATCAAAAACCATTAAACGGGTTAAATGGATCGACATTTTGACTGTATAGATCAATGGGTTGTAAATCAATTTAACAATTTTTTAACAATTTTTTACCAGAAATCAAATTTAGGATAAAAGGAAACCAATTGACCGAACGGTTTCCGGGATAAACAGTCTGACCGTCCGAATCAACGGCAGTTAGAAAACATTGATCGAGAGTACAGACCCATGTTCACATTAATTCATAATGTGTGTAACCTTAGATAGTCTTTAAGATAGTAAGCCTTAAACAGAAGGCACACTAATCTTAAGATCCCCAGTTAATACGTTTAACGTCTGAGAGATTAAGGTCTCTGTCATACCTTAAGCGTATAGTCAGTAATCAAACTGCTCTCAACTCCTTCGATTGCGGTTGCCTAAGAAGAATATAAACTGTTGGGTAAGTAACCAAAATTTAATTGAATAGTATGTGCAATTGTGCATTGCAGAGCTCAGTCGCATTCCAATCTGTTTCTTTTCTCCTCATAACCAACCCCCTTTACCTTCATGAAGAGATCAACTTCCGCCTCGGGGAATATTCCGGCGTCCTTCTCTCTCCTCGCGAGCTCAGATAGGAGCTCTGTGATACAACCCATTATTAATTGAAGGTCGAATAATCAAAAGAGATAAATTAATAATGTAGGAGTTAACTTGATCAAATTACCATATCGTGATCCGACCCCTTGGAACCTCGCTGAGAAATCGAGTGTTTCTTTAACGGTTAGTTCCGGTACGTGAACGTCGTTCTGGCTGATGTATGCCGACGTCTTCTGCGGAACGAATTCATCAAGCCTATGCCCATTATACGTGATTTCTCCTTTAACCTGATTCATCAAAGACGAAAATATAATATAT